AGGAATAAAGTAAGAATGAATTAGAGTCACACATATGTTACCAAATATGGTAGGAGACAATAATAGGATGACATCCCAAAATGAAAAAATGGGACAATTATAGGAGGATGGAGGGAGTATTACGTGTGATTTTATTTCGGTTCGATTTGAATTTGTATTTTTGGTTCGGTTTGTTGCTATTCAGTTATCTCAGTTTCAGTTCGGTTCGATTTAATACTACTTGGAAGAAAATACTATAAAACTCAAACCAAATTGCATTTGATCGATTTCAATCCGGTTTAATTTGGTTTGAATTGGTACGATTTGGTTAAATCAAACCGATATGTCCACCCCTAGAAAAGGACTTCATTTCGACTGAAGTTTTGTGGCCCTTTTGCAATTAGGGTAGGAAAATCGAATTGAAATGTGGACATTGATCACGGCCCCACCCCTAAAAATGTTACTGGTACATTTTTTCGTTTTAAATGATAAAAATAAAAATAAGTGCACTGAAATCGAAAATTTGAGCTCACAAAGGGTCCTTAAATGTTACTGGTCCATATTTTTGTCTTTAGTAACCATAAAAACTTTAGTCACATTATAAGTATAACTTAATAATATTTTTAAAATAAACTCTACTATTTATTTATTAGTATCTTTCGATCAATTTTTTTATTAGTATCTTAAACACAATATTAAGATAGATTAATTTGGTGGTTTTGGAGACTAATATTGCGCTATTATTTGTATTTTTTTTATTTTTGATTAAAATTATTTGAAAACACGTTTTATCTGGCCCTAGTCGAACTCGTACTAAACCTGGGATACCAAAAACCATCTCGGACAGAATGTAATGGGTCTTATTCCAACCCTTATTTTTCATAACTCGGGATCTTAGGATGTTTTTACTTGGACTGTAATTTGCCCCCGACCAGATCAGACCAGACCAGACCAGTTCAGACCAAACCAGACCAGACTTGGATAGTTATAAAAATACAAAGAAATCAGACCTTACCAGACCAGACCAGACCAGTTCAGACCAGACCAGACCAGATCAGACCAGACCAGACCAGACCAACAAATTGCAGTCCAAGTAAAACCACGACCCAGATCAGACCATTCTCACGCCTATTCCTGGTTATATTATTGAAATCTAGTTTGATCGGAGTTAATATGGTTTGGCCTATTTGGCCTGCTTCAGACCATATCAGAACATATCAGATCAGATTTAAACTAATCATATCAGACCAGACCGGATTTAAACAAATCAAATCAGACTAGACTTTGATAGTTGTAAAATACACATAGACCAAACATCTACTGGACCAGACCAATCCAAACAAGACCAGACTTAAATAGAACAAATCAGACTAAATCAGACTAAATCAAACCAAACTAGACCAAAGAATTTCAATTCAATGAAAAACATCATTAAATTAAAATAATATGTTCTATAGTGAGTCATGATGAATGATGATGCATGAGAGAGGAAGAGGTCACCGACATTAATTCGGTGACCAAAGAATTCCTGTCTAAATAGACCAGAACAAAAATCCTATTTTTGGATTTAAAATGCAACTCCTATTTTGAAACTTTTATAATATCGGTGAAATTACTTTTATCTCTAATGGATCGGAGTGTGGATTTTTGAAACGAAATTATAGTGAATAAATCTTTTTCGATTACTAATTTTTTAAAGAAGAAGACTTATGTATTAATAATGAAAGTAACCAGAGGTAAAACAATACAATAGTCAAGGTTACACTAGGTTGGGACATATAATCGAATAGTCCCCAAGGACCCATCATATTCGCTAACCCCGCAATGATGTGCACTAATTTAACAGCCTTGCTGAGCTTGCCACTAAAATACGGAGCATGAGGTAACTAAAAAAAGAATTCTCATTAAAGCAACAAAATAAATCAAGTATCCCCCTTTTACCAGCCACAAGGAAAGGAGAAGATGTTTTTTCAGCCACCTTCAAAGAGATCATCCTGATTTACCAGCCATCGGGAAGGGAGAAGAGGTTTTCCCAACCACCTCTAAAGGAAGCAACTCATTTACGAGACTGTCAGTATTCCAGGCGATGCTATTCCGAGAGCACTGCCTTTGAGCCTTTTTTTTATCTGTCCCCATCAACCTCCATATGGACTTGAACTTCCATCAGACGGTGCAAATCCACTGCTCTTCTTTTCCTAGACTCTCCGTCCTCAAGGGCTCTAATTTGATCTTCCTCCTCGTCAACACCCATATTCATTTTGCCTTTGAAGTAAGTCCCTAAACTAGGTAACATCCAATCTCTATTGCCTTCTCTTGTATCCCCATCAGCTACATGTCCTTCTCACTGTCTGACCTATCCTCATTAAACCTCGCCCCCTCCCCACGTGGGATAAACCATTTATTCCGAAAGAACCCCTTGCGCCGCATATCTTCTCTCATCCAGGGGACATAATATAAGGCTTCTCTCCCACCCACGGCCCCGAACTAGTATTAGATGGGCAAATACGACCAGTATGGCCCGGTGCTCCACAGATGAAACCAAGGTTAGGGAATCTCTTACTTGAAATACATTACGCCCATAACCAACTATCACCCTCTTCTCTAACTTGGGTCCTTTTCAACGCATTCTTGATATTTATAGAAACACGAGTGCAAACATACTTCTTAGTGGCTCCTTTTAGTGTTCTCTCGTCCATCTAAATCAGTCTTCCCAAGTAACGACCAATGTCTGTCGCCACCTTTTCCGTCATAAAACTTAAAGGTGAATTGTGGGCCTGCATCCAAAACTCCGCGTGATCTAACTCTACCTTTAATGGTCTATTTGTCGCTTCCACCCTCATGATGACTGCTAAATTCTGATCGAAAGACCACAACCCATCCTGCAACACCCAAGAGATATCACTCTCATGATCGATAAAATTGAACCATAAAACGCGTGTCCCCAACATGTTCAATGCTCACCCTTGAACCTGAACGCCAAATCATTGACATTGTCTCACAGGCGGAGATAAGCCGGACATGTTTGTCCGTCACAACCCTAGCTACAACAGAAAAATGTGGGTTGTCTCCTTCCCCACCGCCAATATCAAGAGCGCCAAATTCGAACACTAATCCCGTGTTTCCCTCTTCCTCAATGGGATAAGGGTCAGTTTAGTCCTCGAAGTTGCAAAAAAGGGGTCAAATAAGTCCTTATATAGAAGATTCTGTCCGGACGTGCCATTTGAGGTGGCTCCCGGTGGAATTTTTTGATGAAATTTTTTGAGCATCTTATTCATTAAGTCTAGTTGACTCATACAAAATTTCAGATAAAAATTCAATCGGGAAGACATTCAAATGAATTCTTGAAGATACCTGTGCCGTTAAAAGCGCTGTTATCTTCAAGAATTCATTTGAATGTCTTCCCGATTGAATTTTTAGCTAAAATTTGGTATGAGTAAACTAGACTTAATGAATAAGATACTCAAAAAAATTTATCACAAAAATCCACCGGGAGCCACCTCAAATGGCACGTCCGGACAGAATCTTCTATATAAGGACTTATTTGACGCCTTTTTTGCAACTTCGAGGACCAAACTGACCCTTTACTCCTTCCTCAATAGACATCCTCCCATAACCAATAGCACACACATCTAATAGCAAAAGCACTACCCAGCACCCAAAAAGGTTTACAAAGAAATGCAAACAACCTTGGCCCGAGAAAGGATCTCATCCGGACCATCCAATCGGAAAAAATCAAAGAAGGACGAAGCAGATTGAAAAAACTCAACTAAACACATGGTCGAATCCCTGTGTATTCCCGTGAAGGCAGCCGCATATCCAAATCACAAGCCCAGTCTCTGTGTCGTTGTGCAAACTGAGTATCTGACGAGAGGGAAGCGAGACGGGCGCCGCACGCCGTTGGGGTTCTCTCACAGTATTTCGTATATTTGGCATCATTATTTCTTATGTCCTTTAATTGCTTATTTGAGCATTCTAACCATAAAAGAAAAAATGGATTAATGTTGAATCGAGCTCCTGCAATTATTTGGCTACTCCTTTTCAATTACTATTTAAGTAATTGTTTTTTACCAAACTAACATTAACGAGAACGAGAGGGTGACTTTAAATTATGATTTTTAGTCAAACGTTAAAAAATCTATATGTTTGACCATTCCAATATATTTGACTTAACAACTCCGTTTGAATCTTAATTGACCATATTTCAGACATGATTTAACAAATGAATTGAAAGAATGCAAATTATATCCTACGACCCGCACACCATGAGGACGGAGTGCTCGGTCCCAAAAAAGAAAAGAAAAATAGAGCATCGATCATCCTTCATCTCCTTCGCTCTTCATCTCCTTCATCGCTACGCCTACCTGCTGCGCATCTGCTCTCTAAAATCTGGAATTTTAGATGCTTTAATCTCCCAAAATGTAATAAGCATGGGCGAAGAAATCTCTGCAGCATCACATCGGCCTCTGATCACCTTAAGTCGGCAGCAAATTTTAATAGGGAAAGTTCCCGAAATAGGACTAAAACAGTTTGAAAATTACAAAGTAGGACTGACATGTTTTTTATTCCCAAAATAGGAGTAATTACTGTCAAGTTTGGAAGATACTGTCATGTTTGAAGTCTGGTACTGCCAACACATGGCAGTAATTAGTCCTATTTTGGGAATAAAAACATGACAATCCTATTTTGGAATTTTCAAACCTTTTTAGTCCTATTTTGGGTAATATCTCATTTTAATAGACCAAGGGTTTCTTGCTTTTTTGATTAACCATACTCCGCCCATCTATCCATGCTCTCGATGTGAAGCTACCTTTGATGTGTGTGTGTGTAAAATTTGGATCAAATAAAAAAAGTCTTAATGTGTAAAATGAGAATTAATCTCAGCCGTCCAAAGTGTCGATCTGATGCACCATAACCCCTATCTGATGCACTTTCAAATAGACCTTAATTGATGCACTTTCGATGTTAAGATGTCTTCTCATTTGAACTCATCCCTATATATATACATATTTTGATTGTGTGTGTATTAATACATGGAGTTACATCTTTGTAAAAACGTTTTACATTTCAAAAGTTTAAAGTTACATATGCTAAGTTACATCTAATTTGTTCTCCAAGTGACATTTCAATAAAAGCAGTTTACATTTAAACGAGTTACATGTGAATGAGTGCAATTTACATTTTGATTAACTTGAAGTTACATCTCGAATCACACGAGTTACATTTCATATAACCATGGGTGCATGGTGCTCCCCATGCACCGGTTGCACGGTATAAGGACTCATCAAAAAATGCACCCTCCGAATAGATTTAATTTCTGTGGAGCAAATCAATAACTAACAAATGAAAGCCTCACTTTTGAAGTTATTAGGGTAGATAAGGGTGCCATGCATTACAATAATAAAGTCTTGTGATAATGAAGCAATAATAGAAAAAAGCCCATATATAATTTTAATGGATCAAACTTGGTCCATCCTTAAGGTGGCTCTTTTGACCATACAGAATGACCAAGCTTGCTCCATTAATCAATATGGCTAGTACAAAATAAGCATATCTAATAAATCCTTATTCAACAGCTAATCAGCCTCTAATAAACCAGCAACTAAGTATGCATGGCGTAGGAGATGAGCTGCTACGTTACCATGAATGGAGCAGACTTTAGAGCACGACATGAAGCATGCAACTCACGTGTTGTTTGATTAAGATCCGCCGAAGCTCTGAGGAGGCCAGAAGCCGCCGCCGCCACCGCCACAGCTGTCGTCAACGTAAGACATGCATGACAATGGTACAAGACAAAGCCCTCGGCTTCTAAGATCCCCTCTTCTTCTGGTTTCTTCGGTTTCAATGTTGTCTTCATGCTGGCCCCACTGCTAATTTGATTAGGCAAAAAGAATCTTTAATAAATCCTTCTCGAATTTTGTTCTATCAAAAATATATATCATCTACAACATGTCATTAATGAGTAAAAGTAGGAAACTTTCCCAAAATATGTGGCTTCTCTAAATGATTACCTGTGTAATTTCCTCCCCATAAATACGAGTCAAGATGGCACTAATTACTACTCTCTTCGTCTCTTGAAACTTTGTCACGTGAAACTAGATATTTATAAAAGACATTTTCACTAAAAAGTTCAATTTCTAGTAAAAGAATAGGCTAGATAAGGAGGCCGCAGTGTTAAATTTTCTATCACAAGTAGTATTCCATCGTCTCATTAGACTTTGCCAACGTTTTTTTTGTACCAAAAATTTTGTCATTTTTTAATTAAAGCAACTAATTTGTTGTTCTTCTCATTTCCATCTCCACTACACAAATTTCAATCATACAACTTTTACTAATCTTATTTCTCAACTTAATTTGAAGTCGAAAAAGTCCACCAGGGTGTAGTGGTGGTAATATATTCCAGTGAAAATGTTTTAATATTAATAAATACTCTGTATATTAGTCAAATGACCTAACATTTAAATATATAAGTGAAATTGCAAAACCAATAATGGAGATATACATAAATTACAGGAATAAACATATACTCCGTAATCCTATTTCATTGTCCTCGACATAATTTTAATTTCAAATAGTCCTATTTAGAGCAATTAGTGTTTATAAAAGTCCTCAACATAATACATTCAGGCATGCTCATGTACGCTATGAATAATGGAGAAAACAATATATACATATAGAGTAAAGACTCTCTTACCCCTTGCATGGTTGAACCACAGCCCTTGTTGCGTGATGATTTCATATACGGCACGCTTAAAGTCTGACAAAATAAGTATGTGTTAAAGTGGTCAGCATTCAGCAATAGATTTAAACAGCAAAACAATTGATCCAAAAGGTGAATCTCCCACCCAGGAGCCTCCACATCCCGACCCGACAGGATGGTGAAAGAGCAAGACATGGTGACTCGGTCTGCAAAGTGACAGTAGGCCTATAACCAGCGGCGGACACAAAGGGGGCAATGAGGGGCTGCCGCCCCTCCGAAAAAAAAAATTCTAGGTATATTTACCCCGAAATTTTTAATATATATGTATTTGTATGTATATTCTTCTACTGCCGCCCCTGCTATCGGGAAATCCTGCGTCCGCCGCTGCCTATAACCCGTGCGCGTCAGAGATCCAGCCTTATTTCAGGTTCTGTAACCTCCACCCGGTCGCTGCGGGGATTCAAATCTTGGTCCATTGATCCAAATTTCCCACCACTCGACCAACTGAGCTACCCGTGCGGGTTTAAACAACAAATCAAATGGACATCATGTGTTTGGGCCAAGCTATATATGAATCCTAATTCGTAAGGCATACAGTACGTATACTGTATACTACACAGATTTATTCATCCCTAAGTACTTATGATATATGGAGATTAAAATTTTGAAAAATTAGTGTTAGACACCGGTCGGACACTCATCTAGGGATAGATAAGTTATAAAACCTTGATGTCTAGAAAGTACTCACGAATTGATCAAGAGCCTCATGCAAACATTGATTTTAACAATAGTATATGGCCAAGAGCGGCATTTGCGGGCATTCCTAGTCATGATAGTATCACATGCTTCTTTACAGGTGACAATAAACTTGATTAAGGTTACTCTAAAAAAAAACTTGATTAAGGTCGGGCTGAATTAATGGGTATAGTTTATAGTTTGTACTACGTACTATCTGATTATTATTTTGAGTTTCATCCTAAGTCCATTTGATTGGAAGAATGCTTCACAAGACTTTTATATGTTGGTTTATATTTTAAACGCAACCGGTGTTAGACGGGTTAATACAACCACACAAAGGTGATGACTTGGTGGAGCAGTCCGACCTTGTAGTCGATCTATGCGCTCATCGTTGAGACTTACCAAGTTCTAATTGGTCGTTAGAACTTAATTTACTCTGATATTATATCAAATCTTGGAGTTTCACCCTAAAAGGTCAAGCTGGAAAGAGGATTAACCTAAAATTTTATATATTGGTTTGTATTTTTATACCCAATCAGTGTGGAACAACTTAATAATGAGAAGACACTAATAAGAGTTTGGTCTGATCTTGATATGGCAAGCTCATGTAATATAGATTAATAAGTTTGTTCTTTAATTTTTCTATTCAAACAATGTGTCAATGTGAGTGCGCAGCTACAAACATACCCAAGGAGATTTATCTTTCAATGTTAGCTTCAATTACGACTTAAGTAGTTGTAGCTAACATTACTCAACTTGGTAATCCTTATGATTGAGTAAACAAGTATGTTTGGATATTAGCTATGTACGTAGCAGCAGGTAATGTGATTTTTCAATGTTTGATTGAGTTACCTTTGAAGCAATGTAAACAAGTATGTAATGTAGCTACAATATAATCCACACATCACATTAATTATGTAGCTATGTAAACATGTATATATGTTAGGATATTAACTATATATTGTATAGTAGCTACATTGATCGTAATATAGCCATAAACAAGCTAAGTGTAGCCGGTCGATTAAGGATACGAAACATATAACTCAATGCCTTATGCCTGAGTCCTTTATGATTCAGAACCGGATTCAATTTTTATCGCACGACTTTACATAAAACTTACATGCCTTTGATTAATTTCAATGTCAACATTCTTAGTATATTCCAATTTTCATCCATTTTCTCAATCCTATGTAAAGTCCCGGCCATCAGTGGTCCTGGTATACACTGATACACATATCTCAAAAAAATATACAGTATCTTTTATTTTTTCATACAAATCTCTTCAATCAATCGTATAAATTTTAAATATTCCATTTCTCAATCTATCCATTTCTTTTCTTATGACTCTTATCATTACAAATTGATACACATATAAAATGATGTGGGCCATATGATTTCCAAAGCTGCATACTACCATCATTCCAATCAACTTTACACTCTTTGAATTAAATGAAAAATAAGAATAGTAAAAATTGTGTTGTTGAAAATTTTACAAAGGAGAGAAAAATGAGATGAACCACAAAATAGTTACTTTATGAGAACATGACATTTTTTAGGACAACTGAAAAAGGAAAAATTGGCGCATCAAGAATTATTTCGAGTACATTTTTGTGACAAAGAGGCTAAAATTCATACTAGTACAAATTTACAAAACAATGATGTGGGCCATACGATTTACATACCTACAAGATTAATGTGATGTGTGGAAAAATAGAATTATGGCACGTGTCACTTTTGTAACTTTTTTTTTGCAAGTTTGTTGAAACTTATAACAAGATTCCTTAATTATTCGTATAATAAGTTATTGAGTTTTAACATGATTCCTTATTCTTATCATCACATGTGTGAAGGATATATTCTCTAGTATTGAATTTGCTAATTTGATTTGGGTCTTATTTCATCAACATTTAATTATGTGATACTTGGTATTACGCAATACTAATTTGATTTGTTTAAATTTAACTTGATATGACTTATCTCAGGTGAAACAAAAAAGATTTGACTCGCGCGTTACCTCAACTTGGTTTTGAAGAAATTTGATGTACCCAATGGCCTCCATCAGTACGGATGCCGTATCTGTCTGCAAAATGTACTCCATATTAAACCCACATCTTGGGAAGAATAATAATTAAGATGAATAATATAGATTAATTGGTACTTTGATGCATTTGGTAAATGTTTTTATTAAGACTATAACTTGTATTGAACAGTCTTAACAAATTAAAATGCTAACTAATTATAGACATTTAAAGATAAGCTTCAACGTTAATATCTTCAAAATGGGTGACCACTTACCAAGGATTAGACTGCTAGCATAAAATTAATTAACTTGTGTACTAGAGTGAAGAATGTTTGTTCGATTAGTCGTATCCAATACACGCTGTACAGAAGCACAAATTGTACGTCAAATTCGTGCCGTCCAAATTTGGACCCCATGCTGCGCTTAGAATGTCTTCTTGCTAACCTTTAAATTCTACGGAGAAATGATTTTTGTTAATAGTTATGACTGTTATGAGAGTTAGGTAAACCATCATATTCAGTTCATTTCAAATTAAAAATAATTTGATAACAATTTGATTAAAAATTAAATAAAATGGTTGCAAATAGATATATAAAGTCTACAAATAGGACTAATTATATTTTATTTCCAAACTTATTTAGACCTGATTGAAGAATAGATATGATAAAACTTCCTCTTTAAGGAATAAATAATGGTGATTCTATTTGAGAAACTTTTTTTCTTTAATTCCAAGCTATATTTAAATAATTTTCTCTTTAAATTATTCTCTTTATGACATACTACGTATTGTATTAAGAATTACTCGTATATGATGAAAAATATTAAAGGTGTGTTTAATTGGATTGAAATTTCTAATCTAGTAGATGTCTGTTGTAATTTATAACTATCAAAGTCTGATCTAATCTAGTATTGTTTGATCTATTTAAATCTAGTCTGATTTGATATGGTCTGGTCTAGAAATAACATGAAAAAACATCATAAATCTATGTATATAAAGTTTTAACATATGACATTTTTTTAATTCTTACAAATTTCCGATTAAATACATTAATAATCAATGTGATTTATTGATCTATGTTAAAACTAAGTTTTAATCTATCATATACTTCCACCATATTATTTACTTGCAAACTGAACGGTATTCCTTTAAACCTTTTTCGTAGTACAGAGAGTATTTGCAACATTTCCCTATTAACGTAAGTTTCTCATTACAAATATATAGATATCCTTATGTTTTCTATATTTTTTATATTTCCTCTGATAATTTTCATTACTTCTCTCGCGCGGGTATCTTCTAAACTTTTCTACTTTACTCACCACCATATTATGGATGGAGTATATAGCTTGGTATTTATTCTTGGTAGTTTTTATGGTACTCATAAGGTATCATACCTTTGTTTACATACACCAATAAAAAGGTAGCAGTTGAATTATTTAAATTTAAATTAAAATTGATAAAGTGATGTGGTCCAATCAAATGAATGCTAAGTACGGTACCCATGTTTTTAGAAAGGTACCGAAGTTGTCATCTTCTTCTTTTTATATAACTCTTTTTTATTCAGTCCTACAACATATGCACGTACTTATTATTAGTCATGTAGCTTTATATATTTGTAGACCATAACCTATATGTAATAAATTCGTCCTCATTAAACACTTTTGTATCAGAATGTAACATTACAAGCTAAGCAAAAACGGCACTAGAAAATTTGTCACCGCCATAGACTCAGCACATAGAGTTTTCCTCCGAAAATAATACTAGGGAGAACTAACAAATAGGCCTTCGAACTTAATTAAAAAATGCAAATAACCCCGTATATAGGAGACTCTGTCCGGCCATCGCATTTGGGGCGGCTCCTTGTGGAATTTTTTGATGAATTCTTTTGTGCATCTTATTCATTAAGTCTAGTTTACTCATACCAAATTTCAGCTAAAAATTCAACCAGGAAAGTAGTCAAATGATTTTCTGAAATATACTGCGCTATTTAACTGCGCACTCATCTTCAAAAGTTCATTTGACTTCCTTCCCATTTGAATTTTTAACTGAAAGTTGGTATGAGCAAACTAGACTTAATGAATAAGATTCTAAAAAAATTCATCAAAAAATTGCACCGGAAACCACCCCAAATGGCGACGGCGGGACAGAACATCTTATATAGGGGTTGATTTGCGCTTTTTATGTAAGTTCTATGACTTATTTGGTTCTTCCTACTCTATACATTTGGGTGAGAAAGACTTAATATGTGAGTACTAGTTACATGAAATTACCTGCAAGTTAGTATAGTTATAAAACTAGAAATTGATACAAATATAAGTCACGAGCTTAGACTGAATATTCAATTTCTCAAAAATAAATTAAAAACACATTTCTTAGCATATACTCCCTCCGTCCCCTTTTAAATGTCCCGTTTTATCATATTGGGATGTCCCTATTTAATTGTCTCATAACTTATTTGGTAAATTTTGTGTGGCTCAAAATCATTCTTACTTTATTCATACTTTATCAATTAATATCAACCACACAAACTCACTTTTCTTAAAACTCGTGCCCCCATCTCTCGTCCCATTTAAAAGAGGACGGAGGGAGTACTACGTATATCTCTTTCATGGGACCCATAGCAAAAAATATAGAAACATGCTTTTATTAGGGAAGAGCTGCAATTCTATGCTTTCATGAGTATAATTAATTAATTAACGAAAGATAAAAGCTCTTGATTACCTTGCCGAAAGGTGCTACTAACTGTTGAAGAGCTGCAATTCTATCTCCTAACTTCTCTTTTCTCACCTGTCTCATATGTATAACAACCATAGTAATTAATTACAGGGGCGGATCCAGGAATTTGAGATGCCCTGGGCTGAATAGAAATTATACTATGTTTAAATATTAGAGTGGTGGGCTAAACGTGAAAAATGAAAAAATTTACACTAAAAAAATCGAAAATTTTCTAAATTGCCATGGGCTTCAGCCTACCATAGCCCGTGCATAGATCCTCCCCTGATTAATTAACTTAATTATGCATACACCGCATTAATTAAACAGAGCAAAAATTGGTGGAGACAAGGAGGGGCTTGATCTGAGAGGCCCCAGCAATTGTTTTCTATTCATTTTCTATGTACAATTTTTATTATGTAGTACACAATTTCCATTTTCTTAATTTCAAGTGTCAAGACAAATGAAGGATAATGACAATTTTAGGAATAAAATTGTGGGTTAGTGAGTTATATTTAAAAAAGAATCGGAAGAAATAATAGAAAATTAAGATGCCAAATTAAATAAAGCAATTTGTGTTTTTTTTTTATTACTGAAATACCTATATAATAGGTGTGTGTATATACCTTAAAGGGCGGACAGGAGACACGCGGATCCAGTCGGGATTTCTTAATAAGTGGTGCTTGAGGTGGCTTTGGCTCCACACCATTGCCTTGCCTTTTTCCCTCTGTTGTGGCATTGTTATGGCAGGACAAGGCTGCTGATATCTTCAAAGGTTCAAATTTATTAATTAGTATACTTTGGACTTTTTACATTAATTAATCATGATGACCAGCTAGCTAGTATTCAATTCATGAATGTGTATAAAAAGACTCATTAGCTGAAAAAGGAGAGGCACGTATTATTTGAAAAGAAATATTTGTATAAATAAAGAGGGGTGTTTACTAAAATGTGTGTGTGGTGAATAAAGCTGAGCTAGCTAGGCTTTAACCACATAAAAGAAAAGGTTTGCTTTTGTTTCGTTTTGGTCTAAAGTTAAATAAAAGCCAATGCAAGAAAAGACATGATGCTTTTCTGTATATGTATATATGTTTCTTTGTTAATCATCTTATATTCCATTATGATGCATCATCAAGCTACCTAAGTTATACTCTAAAACTAATTATCTTCCTATATAGATATATATATAATGTCATAATTATATGAGCTAAACTAGATAATGGTTACATTCAAAAGCCTTAATTAAAGCTTAAGATATTATCATGGACTCCAATGATTTTACGTTAAAGATATACGGAGTATTAATTTTTTTAGTCTTACGAATTTTCTTGAAAGGTATATTATTCTTTTTTTGAGGTGAAAATCTTGAGAACCACATGTTATTGTACGTTTATTACTTTTAGTCAATAAAATTATTTTTTTCCTAGGTACCGTATATTTCATCTACTCTTTTTTAGGATTAGCACTTTAACTTTTGAAGTAATCACATAACATACTTTTAATTAGCATATTTTATTTTGAAGTATAACCCAAAATTAATTACTGTGTAGATCATTGTTTTATGATGAAATTTCTTAAATATGATTAAAACAAAGCAAAACAAATTCAAATAGACGAGCCAATATTTTCTTCTCAAAATAGGACTTCTCACTCACACTATTTAGGAAAGTTTTTATTCTTTATTCTTTTACTATTACTTATTATAAATAAGTCTTATTTAGAAAAGAAAACATACTTAATCATATTTAAGAACTTTTCCTATGTTTTGCTCATATTTCCAAACAATTCTTTTTGTTTCATTTAAATTACCTGGATGTAAAATTTTAAAGCATCCACTATTAATATTTATGAAAAAATGAAATAATATCTTGACGATAAAAGTCAAATGGGAGTGCGTTATTAAAACTCAATCTGTACTTCCTAAACCCTTCTCAAAATCGTAGGCCACATACACATCCCCTAAGTTAAGTTATTTTTTTCCTCTTCATGATAACTAAAATTAAGTTCATACCTTTTTGGGGATATTTTGATAATAAAATACGGAGTAGCAAGTGTTTACTATGTACAACATAGAGTACACCATACAATAATTAATCTTTTTCCACATAATTTTTAATTGAGCGCATTCTAAAATGTCAAAGAATTTTTATAGGGAGAATTCGACTTTCCATTCCGTTTTTGATGAAATTAGACTTTGCACCTTATTTTTAAAATTATTAATATATGGACCCCAATTTAGTGTAAAATCATTTGACTTTACACCTCACTTTTTCACAATTTTCAGACCGATAGGGTGGTAACATTAATGGTTTTGCAAATTGGGTGTAAAATCTATTATTTCCCAAAATATGAGGTGCAAAGTAAAAGAAAAGACCCTTTTTACATCAATAACATATGCAGTTAAACTATGTTTTTTTGGAGATAGAGAAAGTAAATGATATTCTCATCAGCTCTTTTGTTATTCAATATTTTAGCATTATACTCCCCCCGTAACATAAAGATCTTCTCATTTTGACTTTTCACGGTCTTCTAAGTTGAACTTTGACTGCAAATATCTACATATCTATATTTATAAAATTCATAATAAATTAACATTCAAATAATACGTTTTACAATGAGTTATATAAAATAAATTTTTAATCATAACATAATGTGAGTTTTGAATAATTAATGGTCAAAGTTCATAAAGTTTGACCCAAAAGAGTCAAATTGGGAAGATTCTAGCGTTACGGAGGTAGTAGATTTTTATGGGATACTCTTGCTGGTTTTAATGAATCTCCCTTAATTTCTGGTTTTAGCATTTTGGTATTCAAACATTTTAACACCTATGTATGCTAATTGAGACATGGTAATTAAAGAAAAATTAGTCTATTTCATGTCCAAGCTTAAATAAAAAGAATTTAATCATTTCTAGCTAGAGTAAAATAAATATGGAGTATGATTTAAAAAATACATATGATTATCACCATATCTAAAAACAATTATGTAATATCACAACTAACCAAAGAATTGAATTCTAAAAAACTAAAGGAATTACATGCACATTAGTTCTTTCTTTAACATCTAACACATGTGCACACTTTAGAAACCCCTTTATTCTTCTTGTGTGATATTCTGAAACATCAAATATAAAAAACGGATGTGGGAGTAAATGATGATTTGTAGAAATAAAGGTGTACCTAGCTAAGAAGTAAGAGCTAGATTTGTGTTATCATCAAATTCTTAAATAAAGTTTTCACTAACTACACATTTCTATGCCTCATCCAATCCCTTTAATTTTTCCCTTTGGAGATGAAATACATAATAAATTAAAGTGTGCTTACATTGTGAAAGTTGTTACCAAACAATGTCCTTTGATGAGTTGCTTGCTGCAAATTATGATGATAGTGATCAATCCCAGGAAAGCTTTGAAACCCAAACTGTTGATGATGCTCAGAATTGAACAGATCCAAAGCTTGCAAATTGTTCATCCCCAAAGACCTAGAATTCCCCAAGGAATTAGCAGATGCAGCTTCTTCTAATTCCTGATTATTCTTATTATGGTTCAAGATGGGAACGTTTATGGTTGGGTATATCTGACTTATAAATCTGCTTGCAGTGCTTCCTCCTCTTTTACCATTAGTGGAGCAAAAGAACTGTGGATCCACCGCCGGTGAGAGTTCTTGCTTCATTGCGCCGCCGCTGAAAGCCGCCTCCTCCGGCCAGTGATTAAAAGTCAACTCTTGGGTGGGCATGTTGACCTCCTCCTCCTGCTGTTGCTGAGGATGGTTTACTGAGCTGCTGAGAGTATTGTTTGGATATAAAAGTAATGAGCTCAAACAACTGCTGCCACTGTTTCTGAAACATAACAATATATAAACCCTAATTAGGGAAACCATTCCAGCAAAAAAAGATGGTTTAATTTTGTTAAACAAACAGTGAATCAAAGCTTTAATTGGGGTTCTTTTAGAAACTTGGCACACATCAAATCAAACAAAGATCAAGTAGGGAAAAGGTGAAAAAAGGAGAGCTTTAGCTAAAAAAAAAGAGAGAAAAAGACTCACATGGTGTTACTGTTTGGGGTCCATGTAGTTGTAGAATCTCCATAGCAAGATGATGATAGGGAATTCTGTATATTACAGTTAATATTATTTGCTAGAGAAGGAGGAGAGGAAAGAATTACAGGAAGCTGATGATCTTGGTGGAGGAACTGGTGATGATTTTGGTGGAGGTAAGCATAATCCATCGAATAATAATTATAATCTCAATAATAATTGTTATTTTGAGATTATTAGTATTATTACTGGATATCTTATTACGAAGAATGGTGTTTATGCGATGGAGCTAAGAGAAGTAGTGTTTGGAAGGAGGATTTTAATTAAAAGGCTTAGCTCAACATCCGATCCCAAGTTGAACAGATCAAAACAAACAGTTCTTATACCCCACCCCCACCCCCCACACATATACACGCACAAAGCACAAATAATTAAAAAAAGGGGAGGGATTAAAGTAAGCTATATAGTTAATTACTATTAGCTACCCCTTTCTTTCTCCCCCAAAACCTGAAAACCCTTGCTCCATTCTTTTCCATCCTTTTCTTTGCCTCTTCATTATAAGCTCTAATAATATAAGCAGCGGCAGGAATGAAAACAATAAACCATCACACAGACATATATACTAAGCTAGTAAGCTGCTTCCTTGAATTTAATTAAACTTCATGTTACCATATTATTATAATGAAATAATTGGTCGAAGTTAGGGTTTTCTTTTTCAAATCTATCTGAATGTGTTTGACTGTATAGGTATATATATATGCATGGATGGGAACTCGGGAATTGATATGTAGGTGAAGCAAAAGTGCATGCGGCAGTTATTACCCAAAGCTGATCTCCACTGTTGGCTCTGCAATTACAGGCAGGCCGGGGGAGGAATGGCATGATTGATTATATGGTTCTCCTATAGCCACCACATGGTTTTGGACAACGACAACTTGTGCTCTTTTTTTCTTTTCTTTGAATTCAAAAAGATTTACTCCGCAAAAGCATTTCAAATTGTTGAAGCCGTCGGGTAACACTATTTTTCGGCCTATCAGGCTTATCAGTCAACTTTTTCACGAATTACGTAATATTTTTTACGCGCTGAATTCTGTAATAATAAGTAAAAGTAAGGTTGAAGTTACTTTTTTTACTGTATTGGCTGAAATTACTCTAGATGACCATTTTAGCTATTTTTAAATACAATTTTTTCTTTATTTTATTTATAAAATATATTTTAAGAATAAATTTTTCTAAAATCAGCAGAATCGGCCAATACAGCCATTTCGGCGAGGACTTCATAAATTATAGCTGATTTTTGTGTTACCAAATGGGCTCGTTGTCTTTTTAAAATTTTTTCTTAATTTAAAGATTGTTGTCCCAATTTAATTTGGAAAAGATGATGTTTCGGCAAAGAATGTCGATTTGACTCCCTTTAATGTTTTCGATAAGCGAAAACGTTGTTTGATAAAATGGATTGATGGATAGTGTACCCGGGGGTAGCTTATCCGAGGAATATTATAAGAAATATCTAGAGAGAAGTCGGAGCAAACAAGTAAGAGAGAGAGACTCAAATTATAATAAATGAGCTCGATGCCCTTTACAATGGAAAACAGGATGGAAAACAGGATGCTATTTATAGCAGCCATAAATGTCATACGAGTACACGTGTCAATCATCCCATAATGGAGGGTCACCTCAATCGGGGTGGCACCGACATAGCATGTGGCACCGCATTAAATGCGGTGGTTAGACGTGACGCAACATTGAATGCGGTGGTTGCTTGTCTGCAGAGGGAATCTTTGCCGAGAGTAGACCCTTCGGTCATAGTACAGCATGGCCGAAGGCTAGGAATGTGTGCCGAAGGCATCCTGGTTGGCCGAAGGCTGTAATTTTACCCAAAATATCCCAGTAGCCCCGCACGTACAAATTCGGTTGTCTCCCGTACTTTTGGGGCCTTCGGCCATGGGGCTGAAGGCATCCCCATGTGTATTGTGGACTCCTCTATGTTTGGTCCGCTGTATCTGGGCCTCCTGTGTTCATTGGGCTCCTTGGGCTTGCTTAGGAGAAACATGAGTATGTGGGCCGGGGTTCTCTGGGCCATATACTCCATCACATATGTTCGGCGCTAAAGATTTTGGTTGGAACCGATGAAATGGAAACACTGCAAATAAATAGAAGAGTTTTGGGTTAGTTTTTTGAAATATGGCGTTTTTACTAATTGTTATGGCCAAACACCTAAATTATCAAACATCTCCTAACAACCCGCCAACTTATTCTGGTAGTCAAACCCGCTGATTAAATCCGCTATTAGTAACTCGCTAAACTCTGTTATCCGCTAATCACTAACCGCTAAATGTCCACACGCCAAAGTTGAGGCATTTTTAAGTAAATGAAGAAAGATAAAATAATTTAAGGGTAGTAAGTGTAAGGGTAAGTTTGTTTCTCAATTCATTTTTCCATACCTAATATAGAAAGTGAACAATCAATTTTGAACATCAAAAATAGGAATTTTTATAAATCAAATTGTATCGGGGGAATATATAACACCGAGCCCATAGGACCCGAGGTAGTTACTCCTAGATACTCTTCACACCTCTAGTAATGTCCTCTCAATCCAACACAAGTCTTTATCACACACTTTGTCTCCACTCGTGTGTGTCATGTGAAACTTTCAGGGGGTCACCCATCCAAGACTACTCCCGTGCAAGCTAAGCACACTTACCTTGAAGTTCTTAGCTTATGGGCCTGGTTTGTACCAAGTGAATATGATGAACTTCTCGAATAATCTGTTCGGTTCGCACTTCTCTCCCATCAATTTTGAGAGAAGTATACATCATCGCAAACAAGAAATAGCTCCTCACTAATTAATTACGCGTGTCCTCGGGTTTCTTGCATAGCTCTTAGGAAAACCGTCATTGATTGATTAAATACTACCAGATTTACAACACGAAGCTAATTCGTATGCACACATGAACAAATGTGAAATGGGTAAACAAGATTATCTTAAATGTGAGGAAATTAAATTGATGGAGTGGAAGAAGAACATGCAAGAACCGGCCATAAATCTAAATTAAAGTGATAAATGTATGGAATAACATCATTTGGTAAGATGGAAGAATAAGCCAATTGAAACATTGTGTGCTTTCCTCCCTCCCCTAATTATTTATTGTCCCATTTTTTCATTTTGGTTCGTCACACTGAAAAAGTTTCATACTAAATTTACTAAAGTTTGTGTGATTGTAAATCATTCTTATAAATGCACCACTTTCTCATCTTTCAATGTTACTGCCTTACTGGAACAAAGATAATATAAGTTATCGCAAAATATAATACAGACTCACAGGTAGGGGCGGAGGTAGAGGGGTGGCCAACCGGGCCACAGCCCGCCCCAAATTTGAAAATTCTTTGTATTTTTAGTGTAAAAATTTATGTGAAAAAAAATTATCTGAAAATTTTTTTGTACCGGCCCAGCCCAACCTTCAATCCTAGCTACGCCCCTGCTCTAAAGATTCATTAGGCAATTTAACATTTAAAATAAGAATTTGATACTTTAAGAAGGTGTAATACATCGCGGAAAAATAGAAATCTAATTATTCAAAAAAAGAAAAAATCAGTTCGTGAGCTGCGGAGCCGCTGAATATGGTGCAATTGTGTAAAGGACCAAAAACTTTTGTAAACTTAAACAAGCATTTAAAATAATTTTTTTTTGGAAGAATTCAACTTAGATCGATAACAGATAATTCACAGTATAATATGGATCAAATGACAAAAAAAACAAATCTGACAACCGTTATCCCGTGTATTCTCAAATTTATCCCGCAAAATCTGACAAAAAAATCCGAATTCGGCTTAGACCGTTGAAAAAAATTACACCTAAGTACTGCGTATTGCTAAATTCCGGATAACTGAAGTTTTTTTTTTTTTTTTCGGATAACTGAAGTTATTTTCCAACAGCGCCGGGACCGTACACTTAACCACGAGAAGAACGAAAAAGTCACGTACATGAAACCCAAAAATAACACAAAAGAAAAGAGTGGGGACAAATAAAATACTCATCATTGCTCCTATACATTTGTTAAATGTACTTTTCTTATGAACAATTGATCTCATGACTGACCGTCCACGCTACAAAACCCATAACAAATTTTAAAACAAGAATTAAAATTAATGATGTCAACGTGACATTTCCATGACATCATCGTCACCAACATTCATCTAATTTATTCCATACAATTTTTATATTATACTTTATACTCCCTCCGTTCCAGAGAGAAGTTCCCGGGTTGACTTTCACACATTTTTAGGAAATAAAGTTACTGAGGAGTAAATTTTACTGTTTTGCACTGTTTCGACACTGTTTGGCACTGTTTCGACACTGTTTGGCATTGTTTGGCACTGTTTTAATGAATGATAACTTTCCATTTAGGGAAATGGGAAGTTTCTTTTGGGACATCCAAATAAGAAAATTGGGAACTTCTCCCTGGGACGGAGGGAGTATTTCTTTACCAGTTCTGGATCAAATTGTACTTATAACTCTATGGGATTTTAGGTCCCTATTCCTGTCACCCATCTTTTACCAATCTTTAACGGACCAAATATTATAGAAATGATAGCTGCAATGCATAATTTGCATTTATATTTTTTGTTGTTGTATTCCTCACATATTATAATATTTGTTCTGTTAAAAAATAATACTCTCTCCGTCCCATTTTATACGATATCTTTTCTATTCACTTGGTCAACACAAATCATTCTTAATTTCTTACTTTATAAATCAAAATTTTATGAAATTTGAATTATTTCTTTCATACTTTGTAGCGGTTTTAATGTAATTTTTGAATATGTAATTTTTTTTTCTAAAACTAATTTAAGTGTTAACAGAGATCAACTTGTTTTATCGTCGGTCAAACATCATAAACCGTAAAGTGTCTTATAATTCGGGATGGAGGAAGTAATATTTTTCGAACATATGACATTCTTTCTTGAGAGTGTCATTGAATCATAAGATACTTGGCAATAATTCTTGATTATGCATGTAGAACATTAAAATAAAATAAAGCATATACTTATTTCGTTATTAATTGGGAAATTTACCAGGATATGACTAAAACTCAATGAGTTTTCCAATCTATGACCTAACTAGTTTTTTTACTTTTGTATGACCGAAAATCCAAAAAATAAAAAATTCTCGTTTATATCTAAAAGATGAATGACAAAATGCCCTTATTTAAAATATGTGGATTTTGCACTGATTTCGTTCAATTAAAATTACTGCATTTTATATTATCATTAATGCACAACATTACTGCACGACATTACTGCACATCCGGTAATAATCGCTGCACTTGCGCCAAAATTAATTCTCTTGTTGTTCACTTTACGAATTTATTTATAGTTTTTATTTTTTATTTTTTTAAATCTAATGATTTTATTATTTTACTTCTAATTCAATATATAGTATTTCGTGGTGACCTTACCGCTGTGCGTTACTGCACTATTGCTCATAATCACTGCACAACAAACTTCCTTAATGCATTGATTCAAAGACATGTACAATATATCTATTGCATATATATTCACTGCCCACACTCGACATGTACTCCCCTGTTCCAATGCATTCATTGAATGTCCATATTGAATGTCCGTGTTCACTGCCTAAAAACTTAAAAATATAGTCCGGTGACGGGGTGTCGCCGGTAAAATCCAAACGGAAGGATTTCAAATATTGTGGATCCAAGATTGAAAGAAGCAAGATGATTTCCTCAGTTGAGGTTAATCCAATTATCAAAGAAAGTATTATCTAGACACATTTCAAAATATCGAAGACCATAAACTAGAAACCTACAACCAACCCCAAAAAATTGAATTTGAGGAATCAAATAAACAACCATAAGTGATGAAGGGTCTGCTATATTCTAAGTGAATGAAGAATTCGTCAATTTCTTCTATTAAAAGAAGATAACTCATGTT